GTCAGAGCTTGCGGAAGCAGAGAAGGTGGTTCCCACCTGAACCCCAGGGGTTATGTGTGTGTGCCAGGGGGTCACACACTAAGGACTGGGACAGTATGGTCACCTGGCAGAGAGGGACTGGCTACCCTGTGCTCTCTCTGTCACCACTGGGAGGATCATTTGACAGTGAAGGTCCCCATCCACTGTCTGGGAGGCCAGGGAAGGGAGGGTGGCAGGAGGCCTCACACTTTGCAACTTTACTCCAGTTTTGTGCAGAGGCAAGAAGACCTTGGCACCCATCTGCTCCCATGCCCCAGGCAGCATTTCCCAAGAAGCCCAGCACTGCACAGCTGTCTCAGCACCAGAGGACAGCCACAGCCCCCATTGGTGACAGGCTCTGGGGGCTTCTCTGATGCTCCCTGGACTAGAAATCTCTTGCCCAACCTTTTACATAAGTGACTTCCCGAGATGTTTTACATGCACTTGCTCATTGTTGGTCTGAGCTGACCTCTGCTCTCTGGGAAACCCCTTCTCCTCCTTGCCCAAGGATTCCTTTTCTCCATGGCTCAGATTCTTTCTAACTGCAAGGGTCCTTCTTGGCTCACATCAGCCACACAATCTCACTCCATCAGCTTGAGCGGGCCCCTGTGGATCTTTAAACCAGATGAAAAAACATCTTTCTTCTCTTGAGCCAAGTGAGGCAGCCCAGCCAACTGGCCCGCCCTCCGACCACACAATGGCGAGCCTGCCCCGCTGACGGCGTGTAGAGGAGCCAGCCCTCGGACAGCCCCTGCCTGCCCCTCTGGCCTCGGCGCTGCTGCCTCCCACAGCCCACTGCCACTCCTTACTCCCGGCACGGCCCAGCCCTGCTTGGTGGTTTCGCTCCTTTCCCCATCTTTCAACACCTCCCAGAAACACAACCTCATTACATGGCCTCATGCTGGTTCACTTGAGAAATAAAACTCAGAAACAAATTAAATGGCAATTTCTTTTTAAACAAGAGAGGGGCCAGGCTTCAGGAATACCAGGCCAACGTCCTTCGGTTCCGACTCCTGGGGGCCACTTCCCCCGTCGGCTCTGGCGGTATTAAAGTCAAGGCCTCCATGTGGTTTTTCACCAGCAGTGATTTTGCATTTAATTTCCTTTGTTTTTCCTCCCCCCATGTTTGCTCTGACCCAAGTCCCTTTTATCGAGACTTTGGTAATAAAATGCAAAACCCTCTTTGGGACCATGCGCCGAGCAGCATGCAACTACTATAGGTAAGTGGCAGGCCAAGTCTTGTAGAGGCCCTCCGCCCCCCCATTCTCGGGCTCCTCCACCACCCCTTGCCACCATGCTGACCAGGGAGGCACAGACGGGCATCAGGGCAGACAGTGAGTAACCTGCTAGAGCTGGCACAAACCGGTGGTCTCCCGGGTACGTGCCCGCAGAGACTCAAATAAAACTGCCAAGCTCACTCTAACTGGGGACTTAAATCCAATTCTCTCACGGGTCCCAGAGGCCACCAATTAACATACCACGTCCTGCCCCACCATGCCCTGCTTCTCAGCTGCTCCAAAACACATAACCCAGGGCTCCAAAGAGCTAGTCCCAATTACACACCAAATTAAGTTTAAGCTATATATATATAGGGCTGGTGCCTGTAACTAAAATAGAAAAATAAAACCGCTCTAGTTTTGCTGTGAGTGATTCTGTCTAACCTCAGTGCTAAACCTCAGCCCACCTTGATTTATGACAGGTGACGCCAGCCAGCCATAAAAACACCAGCTTAGAAAGGGATTTTAACATTCACCCAGATGGGCAGGCCAGGGTGACAGGACCAATCCAGGCAGACTGCCCTGAAGCGCCCGGCTGAAACTGAGACAAGGATTTAAATAGTACTGAACACATCACTCACACACCCAGTTAGCAGACACCGATGACTATACTCAGGCGTAAATACTAAGACACAGACCTCATGGGCTTCCTTTGCCAGGTCTGAGAAGAAGGAATGAATGCAGGGAGGGAAGGAGACAAGTAAGAAAAGGAAGGAGGAAGGAAGAGAGGGAGGGAAGGAAGGAAAGATGCAATGGAGATAGAAAAGTGTTTGCTGTTCACATTCTACAAGGGTTCAGTTTCTGAGTCCCTGACACCATGATCCCTGGGGGACTAAACTCTCTGTTGAGAACGACAGATTTTGGTGGTTTCTTTTAACACCAATGTTTTTGTGAAAGTATTCTGGTTTCTGAATATTAACTCGAGCAACATCTAAAGCAGTGTTTTCCAAGCCATATTCTGCAGAGTGTGAGTTCTAAAATGCCCCTCCAAAAAGGAAGCTCTTGCTAAGTTTAGAACATATTACGTAATCTGCCCCCTTGCATAGATGTTTATGATCAGTAAATGAAAGGCTCTGATAAGCCCTGCAATAAAGAAATTGGTTTAACTTTGTTTATACTAAGTGCATTTGAACCCAGACCCCATTTCTGTGTAAAATGAATCACAACTTTCTTGTAGAATCCTGCTTTGGAAATAGTCATGTGCCATATAATGACATTTCAACGATGGACCACATATACAACGGTGTTCCCATAGGATTATAATGGAGCTGTCCTATACAGGTATGCCATTCATTATCTTTTATATCTAATGTTTACTGTGCCTCTTCTATGTTTATATATTGTTTAGATGCAAAAACACTGCTGCGTTACAATTATCTGCAGTATTCAGCACAGTAACAAGCTACACAGAAGTCTAGGAGCAACAGGCTACACCATAGATCCGAGATGTGTAGTAGAAGGTACCGTCTAGTTTTGTGTAAGCACACTCGACAATGTTTGCACAACAAAACTGCCTAACAATGCAGTTCTCAGGATGTATTCCCGCTGTGAAGCGATGTATGACTGCACAGAGAAATGTTCATAAATCAGGGGGAGACGACCCACTGGTGCTCACAGCCAGCCATCTGCTTGCCAAACCCTACTTCCTTCTCCTCTCTGGCACACAGCCATGCTACATCTCCCAGCCTCCCGTGCAGGGAATGGCGTGGCATGACCGAGTTCCAGCTAGAACATGGGTGGGCTCCAGGTACACCACTTCCAGACATGGCCAGAAACAAAATCCCACGCGACCCTCCATGCCTTGTGACCACTGCCTGGAAGGACTCCGTGGACCTCGAGGGGGGACAGAACCATAAGAGGAAAGGAGTGTGGGGTCCCATGTCTCCCTGTGGACAAGGATCACCCAGTAAAGCCATCCAAGGAGGAATACCCTTGCTGGACTGTGAGTGAGAAAGAAATATTCACCGAGCTAAGTAAGCCACAGTCACGTGGGGTGGTAATCACAGCAGCGCCCGCCCTGGCTAAAGCCCACTTTGAGTAAGAACTAGGCCCAGCACAAGGAAGGAAGGGAGGAAATCAACCTTTGTAAAACCTCATAATCCTCTCAGCCACCTCCGCAGGTGAGTGGCCATGTTTCCTATGTGGATGAGGAAACTGAGTCTCAGAGAGGGGAAGTGATTGGCCTCAGCAGCTGGTGGCACAGCCAGGAGAGAAGTCTATTCTAGTCACTGTGAGCCAAGCCCCTCCGCAGCACCCTGCCAGGCTGCCTGAATCCCTTCAAAGCAAACATCTTGGAGAAGGCCCTTTGTGAAGTATCTGTGTCATGCCTGGGCTGGCTCAAGCGCAGAAGAAGGGCTGATCCGGTGTGCTGTCCCTTAGGAACAGAGCTCGACAGGCCTAGCAAGAGGAATCAGCTTGACCTCTTGTGTTCAGCTATTTTTTAAAAAAAGATGAAAAACATACAACCTCATACAAATGACCCTGATGTGCATTTTAAAGCACATCTGTCTTTAATAAAACCCCACACTCACCCTGTAAACATCTGTGTTTTCAAGTGCATGCGAAGACCAGTCAGCTGGGAGACGATCTAGTATTATGGTGACCAACTGTCCGGATCTGCCTGGGACTGAAGGGGCTCCTGGGGCATGGGACATTTGGGGCTAAAACTGGGAAAGTCCTAAGTAAACCAGGACAAGTGGGCCAGTCTGGCTAGTAGTCAGCTAGTACGTCCAGGAGAGCATGCCCCAGGGGGAAAGCAGCTGGGACAGGCAGACCTGGATCCACATGAAAGACAAAGAGAAACACAAGGAGGTTAATATTTGCTTTCAACGCAAGGGGCAAAACAAACCCGGAAATTCCCATTTGCAACTTCTACCTGCCAACAAAAAGTGACAACAGCATGCACCGAAGTTTCTACCCTGAGCAGGAGAGGTAAAGACTGGAAACTATGATGAGGAAAGGCAAGAGGTGTCAAGTTCTCCTGGAGCTGGAAGTGTCACCAACATTCCTCATTAATTAGCACAAGAGAGACCAGAGGCTGCATAAGCTGGAGCCAGGAGACTGAGCTATGACAACGTGACAGTACCAATGCTGCAGACACCACCTGGTCTTTCTGAAATGCACTCATTTGAAAACAAACAAAAGTTACCTATATATACAAACCGTCTAAATGTATACACTCATGCATGCCCGGGTGTGTGCATGCGTGTATATGTAACACACACACATACAAACTCGCCGTAATGTCAACCACCTTCAACCTTTTCGAGGAAGTTTGGTCACCAGAGTACCCGCAGGGATTTTTATCACTACAAGGTCTCCCTAATGCCCCCCAGACCCAATAGCTCAGACATCAAGAACCGGACCGTGACATTGAGGTCAAAGTTGGATCATTGTTTCTGGGTAGAAACCCTGTAGATGACAAACGCCAGTTCTGCAATCTTAAAAAACCCACTGGGATTACACCTGTGATTCTTAATCCTGGGGGCACATGCTGGTCATCTGGGGATACTTAAAAAAACTAGAGGTGCCTGGGCACCATTCCAGACTAAGTGAGTTTGAATCCTAGGGGTGGAGACTCGGGCATTTCTTTTCTTTTTTATTCATTTATTTTTATTTATTTATTTATTTATTTTGAGATGGAGTTGGGCTCTGCTGCCCAGGCTGGAGTGCAGCGGCACAGTCTCAGCTCACTGCAGCCTCCACCTTCCAGGTTCAAGCAATTCTGCTGCCTCAGCCTGCTGAGTATCTGGGATTACAGGCATGCACTGCAATGCCTGCCCGATTTTTTGTATTTCTAGTAGAGATGGGGTTTCACCATGTTGGCCAGGCTGGTCTCGAGCTCCTGACCTCAAGTGATCCACCTGCCTTGGCCTCCCAAAGTGCTGGGATTACAGGTGTTACAGGCGTGAGCCACCATGCCCAGCCTGGTTTTTTTTTTTTTTTTTTTTTAGACAGAGCCTCGCTCTGTCACCAGGCTGTAGTGCAGTGGCATGACCTCAGCTCACTGAAGTAACCTCCACCTCCGCAGTTCAAGTGATTCTGCTGCCTCAGCCTCCCGAGTAGCTGGGACTACAGGCACATGCCACCATGCCCGGCTCAGTTTTTGTATTTTTAGTAGAAACAGCGTTTCACCATATAGGCCAGGATGGTCTCGAACTCCAGACCTCATGATCCGCCCACCTCGGCCTCCCAAAGTTATGGGATTACAGGCATGAGCCACCGCGCTCAGCCTGATATCTCCATTTTTAATGTACCCCAGGTGATTCTGACACTGAGCCAGGGCTGAGAACCACTGCCCTAGGCTAGAGGTTGGCAAATTTTTTCTGTTAAGGGCCACACAGTAAATGCTGCAGACTTTGAAGGCCATATGGTCTTTGTCATATCGAGTCAAGTCATCATCATGGTATGAAAGCTGCCAAAACACTATATAAATGGACATGGCTGTGTTCTAATAAAACTTTATTTGTATGATCAAGTGGTGGGCCTACTTTGCCAAACCCTGCTGTAGACTCTATGAGATCCACTGCCTGATTTAAGGAGGCATTTTAGATTCTTCTGGTGTCCTTACCGCTCATGGGCCAACTTTTAAGATTTTAAGATCCAGTTTTGGGCTTCAGAAGGAAGTATTTGTTTGCATTCTCTTTACTGTTATAAGAAAAGCAAATAGCAGTGGTGGGATGGATGGGGTGATAGGTGTGTGTGTTGGGGGTAGGTCTGTGGGAACTAGAAAAAGCAGAAATGTTTGTTACTTGCAAGTCAGGCAGCCCCATTTGACTTTTCTCCCGTCATCACCAAAACCAGTACTGAAAATCACAATTGGGCAACTGTGCTTTTAAAGAATTATTGCCTCTGCTTTCCTTCTTCAACAACTGACCTTTTCAAATCCAGTCCTATCACTCACTCCTCTCCCACCTAACCCCTACTAAAATTTTTCCTTTGTTTGAAGAATCCAGGGGAGCATGGAGAAGAAAAATGATTCCTTGATCTTTTTTTTTTTTTTTTTGGTGAAGTTTAAATAGAAATAGGTGAAAAAAAAAATCTAACATACAAGCAAAATCCAAATTTTACTTGTAGATAAAATTTCTCAATAAATCAAATTTTGTTCAAGGAGAGTAATCTCTTTTTTTTTTTTTTTAAGCACCAAAGAACCCAGAATTATTCTGCTTATTGGAGCACTCGACAATTCAGTTTTCTGACTGGAAAGGTCTTTCAATAAGGGTAGCTTCTGATATGGTTTGGATTTGTGTCCCCGCCCAAATCTCATGTCAGACTGTGATCCCTAATGTTCACAATCTGGTGGGAGGTGGGGCCTGGTGGGAGGTGATTGCACCACGGGGGTGATTTCTCTTGAATAGTTTAGCACCATCCCTTTGGTGCTGTTCTCTCGATAGAGTTCTCATGAGATCTGGTTGTTTAAAGGCGTGTAGCACCTTCCCCCTCTCTCTTTTCCTCCTGCTCCAGCCATGTAAGAGGTGCTTGCTTCCCCTTCGCCTTCTACCATGATTGTAAGTTTCCTGTGGCCTCCCCAGCCATGCTTCTTGTACAGTCTGCAGAACCATGAGTCAATTAAACCTCTTTTCTTTATAAATTACCCAGTCTTAGGTATTTCTTTACAGCAGTGCGAGAACAGACTAATACAGCTTCTCATCCAACACTGTCATCAAGACAGTCAGCCAGAGTCTACTTGAATGCCTCCCGGGATGAGGTGCTCAGTACCTCTTCAGGTAGCCTGTTCCACTGTTGGGCAGCTCTAATAGTCTAATTTTCAGATCCTGAACTGAAACCTGTCACCCTCACACTCCCAATTATTGGTGCTAGTTTTCTAGGACCAATGAGTTTTCCCCTTATCCATAAGACAAGCTTTGAGATACTGGAAACCTGATTGTGGGTGCCTCTGGTCAAACATTTCTAGTTCCTCCAAAACTTAACATCTCATAGAAAAACCAAGAATGCACAGAAACACTCTACATTGGATGATTCTGACAGGGAAGGCTTGAGAAATGTTTTTCAGGCTGCTAACAAATCCAGTACAATGGAATATTTTGTTACTTCTGTTGAAAGACTACTATAATTCTTCCCTCTATATATGCTATGAAAACTATTCTTTGACACAGGTTTGTTAGGGGTCAATTTTTACGTGAAAATGAACCCGTGCATCTATGCATGAGATGAAAACACACTAGTGCACTAAAAGAAGGGACATATCATTTCACTAACAGATCCCCTTCCAAAGGCGCAAGAGCTGCTGCAAATATTCAGGATTTCCCCTTTGTGGCAACAGGAATCTCATAACCAGTTACAGTTCCTGTTTCACTTCGCTGTCAGGAAATTCATCCTTGAACGTGAAGTCCACCTTTAGCAAATGGGTGAGAATGTGGCCCACATATTTAGATATTAACCTTCCTTGAACCTAAATTTTCATGAGAATATTCATTGATATAGATCCTTTTGTGTGTGTGTGTGTGTGTGTGTGTGTATACACACATATATATAGTTTTTTGTTTTGATTTGTTTTATTTTATGGGTCAGGTAAGCAACCTCAAATGTTATGTCCAAGAATGTAGAGTATAATAATGAACAAGTGAACACATGAATGAGTGAATGCATAAGTAGACAGAATGTCTTATATATTTTTGTGTCTTGTCCCCTCCCAGTGCCTGGTGTGTAAGTACAGATGCATGATGGATGGATGGATGGATGGATGGATGGATGGATGGATGGATGGATGGGTAGGTGGATGGGTGGGTAGATGGATGGATGGATAGGTAGATGGATGAATGGATAGGTGGATGGAGACATGGATGGATGAATAGATGGGTGGGTGGATGGATAGATGAATGAATGGATAGGTGGATGGGTGG